CCGTCTCCAGCTTTGCTCTTTGTCCCCGACCTCCTTCCTGGCTTTTTTCTCCTGTTCGCCCTTCCGCTCCTCCTCCCTCGGAGCTCTCCTCTTCCTCTTCCTCTGGTGTGGAACCCCTGCTCCTGGGCGCTTGGCCGCGGCGATAGGTGCGCCTCCTCTCCCAGATCCCCCAGCTGGGTGACCCCTCGCTTCGCAGTTCGGCTTCCGTCGTGCAAACTCGACAGGATGAAAGCCCTCTCTCTCTCTCCCCCCCCCAGGGGCGTCCGGGCCGCGGCAGGGGATCGTGATGAATCCAGCCAAGGAGAGGTTCTTCCACAAGCTGGCCCTGTACGAAGAAGGGAGGATCCCCAGCGCCGAGCTGCTCTCCTCCTCCGGTCAGCCTTCGCTCCTTCCCCCCTCCCCTCCCCTGTTTCTGCGCCCCCACAACCCCCTCCCCCGAGCCGGGGCCCCCGCGTGACCTGCGAAGGAACGGGCGCAGGCTTGTTCCACGCCGAAAGGACAAGAACAGAGACGCGACGTTTCCCGCAGGCGCTGTCTCCGGCGCCTCTTCTCCTTTCAGGGTGTGGTGAACCCGTGCCCGTTCCTTCCCAGGGGGAACCGTCTGCCATCGGAGCTCCCAGGGGGCCCTTGGCCGAGTCTGACGTGGCGTCTTCTCTCCACAGCGGACAGCGGCGGCGAGCTCAGGCGGCCGGAGGAGAGCGACGAGTTTGACTGCTGACGGCGGGAGGAGCCCGGGCCTGTGTGTGATCGTCTCTCGGACCCCACGCCCACCCACGCGCCCGCCCGTACGCAGGGCAGCGTGTGGGTGTGTGGCACAGGAAGATGGACGACGGGACTCGAAATCCAGATTTTGATGAAGACTTCGAATCTTGGCGTTCAGCTCTGGTTCTGCCCGTTTCTCGCCGTCTGCGCCTGTGTGTAGGCCGGCTGTGCCGCGCGCACGTCACCTGGTACTTCTGGAGAGTCACGGGGACTCCCCGACCCCTCTGACACGCTGGCGGAGCGCCGAGCTGCTGCAGGTTCCTCTCCGTGCTGAGTCCGGCTCGCAAGCCCTCGGACGACGCGGCGCGGTGCAGAATTGGCCACGGAGTACTGGGCTCACACTGGAAGGAGCTCATCCCCACAGAGGGAATGGAATCGCAGACCGGGAGCAGAAAGACGGCGGTATTTCCGTGCGCGACGCTGTGCCGTTTGTGGGAAGGACAAGCTGGGAAGAAGTTCCGTGTTCCCGGAGCACGATGGCCTCGATCACGCCTCCTGGGAGAACCAGCATCGGCGTTGATTCAGAATCCCCCCCCAGCATTTGTGCAGATCTCCAGCCTGGCCAGTCTGGAGTGGTGTCAGGCGGGGGGCTCTGAGGGGGGAGGTGCTGCTGTATTCATCTTGAACACTATGTCCAGCCCTGCCGCCCCCCCGGGAGAAGAGGAGCGCGGAGCAGTGCCCAGGGGAACACCCGGGAGAAAGGTCTCTGCCCCGAGGGGTAGGTGTTGGGACAGACC